TCAGTCTGTTTGCCATAAGTAATTTCTTACCTGAAAGTCTGTCTAAAAACGTAAGGTGCACATATGGAACTGACTCCAGGGCATTTGAGCAGGTAATTTGTAATGTATGGGTTTGCTTTTTTCCATCTTTGCTGATGTGTTATACATACTTGCTGAGGTTAAAAATCAGTTTTGCGTGGGGAAATACATGCAGCTGTCATTTTGGCAAATAGGATTTTGCTGCATTTGCCCTAAGTTGTGTTTTTTAGTTGATTATTTCTTCAGCAGCATCAATCAACAACCATTCCCAGATATCCACTGTGGATGAACTTGATTTTACTTATTAGTGGTTAACAACTGCCAGCTGATGGACTTCCTGCACTTTACACAAGACGGTTCATGATCTGCCTTCAGAAAAGAACAGTGATCTTAATACATTCAGTGAACAGCACAAGCTATGTCAAGACTGCACGTGGCCTCACCCGTGCCCCTTTCACACATGCACACGTTGTTTATCTTTGCAAACCTATAGACAGTTGGACACCAGAATGCTAACAGCCTGTACTACAAGAAACAAACCCATTTACAATCCCTTAGACAAATGCTGTCTAGTACCAATGTCTTAACACTGTTTGAAAGCCTCCCAAAAGGTGAAACCTGTATTTAAATATGGATGGTCTACTAGAGCACACCTTCTGTTGCAAATGTGCAGAATATTTTTTTTCAGTTATAATGAAACCTCGCAGAATTTGTTGCCTTGTTACCTCTGCTATTTCATCCTACAATAAAATGCACGTGGTGGTCGAATTAGTGGATAGTATTTGACATGGAGTTACTGATAATACAGGTTTCACCACAAAATAAATGCAAATGTTAACTGTTATATCTTCATGTAATAAACAATATACCTGTAAAGTTTTTTGTACTTTTATTTCATGATATTAAAACAGTGAAACTAAGCAACTGTGGCAGACACCTTTCTATGTATGTTTTCATGGTTGGGTCACAAACCTTGTGCACTCCCTTAAGCTCTTGGGACATTTGTACACATGCTTGCACCGCAGCACCAGGCACTTTTGAAAGTGCTTGGCACTGCATCACATACATTTGTATAAATGGCAAAATGCACGTTGGCACTGAAAAAATGCTGGCAGCAGCACACTTCTGAACTAAAACGCATCAAAGGTGTTTTAATTCAAGAGTGCACTGCTGCCCTTTTCTCAGCACTGATGTACATTTTGCCGTTGATACGAATGCAGGTGATGCAGTACTGGGCTCGTCAGCTTGCATACTTCACAGATTCAATTAATCAAGTCTGTTCTAATATGCTGCATATCAGAGCAGACAAACATATATGTATAAATGCCCTTGGAGAGGTTTGAGAAATCCAGTTGAATCAACAGAGTTGATTTCCACTGAGATGACAGCTGAATTTGGTGGAAAGCTGCTGAGAGAAAGTATGGGGTAGGTGGTGGGGAAAATCTAAGTGTTAGAAGCACAAGCAAGGGTTTGGCAGCAGCTTGATGGAGAGGGGAGGTAGGTGTCAGCCAATCCTGCAGGTTGGGTTTGTGATGGGGAAGCTGCAGCTCAGGCTTTGTCAGGTGGGAAGCCAGTGGATCTGCAAGATCTAAGCGTAGTGTACAGTTGAGCAGCAACAGCAGATCTGATGAGAGACCACTGGAAGTGGATGTTAAAGCCCATCTCTCTCTCAGGTTCAACAGAATCCCAGCCTATGTGCATACATCAAAGCATCTTAGGTGCAGCCATGGATTTGGATGCTGTGACAACAGGCTGTTTATTTGAATAAGCAGGGAAACCTTGGGCCTGGTAGCAGTAGTGAGAGTTTGGATCAATGCTTCTGTCAGCAGGCAATAGGAAAAATAATTGTCAAGCTAATAGATTCAGCATGGGAAATTACTGGGTGAAGCTTTATGCATTCTTCTGTAAAGGATTGTCACACCCACAAAATAAGTTTGCAGTATTTTTACTAAATGTGAGGTTGTTGCTCTACTCATAAGTGGAGTGATGGGATTCTTTTGCATAGAGAAACCTGTACCAAGCTGGGGTGTCATAGCAAGGATTTTGGCTGTCTGCATGCCACTGAAGGTTCTTGTCCCCCCCCTCCCCTTTGCTGCCTCTCTGCTCTGCCATGCTCAGGCGTGGCTCACTTCTGTACCTCTGCAGGGCCATGCTGCTTGCTTCTGTGGCTGCATTAAATGCTGTATCACAATAGATTGTGTATAGTGATTTTTACTTGAGAGAGCAGCCATGTATGCAGCAGATGGCCTGACTACAGATGGTACTGCCCTAAGAGCAGACAGGAGAGTATGAAGGAGCCATATGAGACCATTTGCAATGAGGAGCAACTGCTGCTTTCCTAGGATCTCCTTTCCTCTGAATCCACTTCCTCCTTCCATGAGCAAGTTCCTCACGCTGGAATCTGTTGTACAACAGCTCAAACCTACTGTAAAACAGCTCTCCTGGTGGATGCTTCCAGGGCAATGATTGCATTTCTTCAGTACGCACAATAAAATGTCAAGTTAAGCATTTACAAGGCAGCATATATACTGCAGCATGACATTAACAAGCAGCTAGTGCTCTGGAGTAGGGAGCAGAAAGGGAACAAAACCTAAGCACAGTGAATGATATCCCCTTAGCACTGCTTAATGCTTTATCCTTGGCACTAACATGCTTAGCATAACACCCTAGGCACATACACTGAAGCAGCAAAGCTTTCCTGAAGAGGCTAAGCTCTTGCTTATAAACTCTCCTTCATTAAGTGTACACTGACCGTTTGGTTGCTATGCTATGGTTAAGACCTGCAAAAGGGGTAACTCTTCCTTAGTTTTAAAAAACTTTCAGCATTTCACCATTCAGCAAGAGATTATCTGAAGGAGAAAAAAGACAGAGCGAGCTCTAACTGTTTCTTGCCACTCAGCCTTCCTCTGATACAGGATGCTTTACCACCACCTTTTAAATCTCCACTGTTTCATGGTGGGATAGTGGTTTATAGCAGCTGAGGAACTAACTCCACTGCAACTGAATGTGGGGAAGCTAAAACAACTTACAGCAACTGAGGATCTGTACCGTGATACTTCATTATTTGGAATACCTGCTATAATAATGTTTCTCTGAACAGTGCGATTACCTTACCAAAAAGTCATGGTTGGGTTTTTTTTGTATGATAGCTCTAGGGCAGCATGGGAGTTTCTCCAGAAGCCAATTGATTTCACAAAGGCTGTCAGCATCTTTAAAAGGACATCTTCCAAACATGCACCATTAGAGAAAATGCATAATATATTCTATTGTAAACAGACTGTGTGTTGTTTATTATTGATCTACCTTGTATTGGGTTTTCAGTCATGGTAGCTGTAAGAAGTAATACAGTTACTAAATGGCTTACTGATGAAGAATGGGGGAAGGAAAAACCACAAAGAGTTTCTTTACAAGTTTTGAATTTCACATAATCACATATTAACCATTTTGCTAAATACAAGCATGTTTTCATTCACATACAGCTAAATACAGCATTTTTTTCACATTTCATTACAGTGCATAACAGAAAGCTAGGAAAAGTGTACAGTATACTTTTATTCTGGAGGTTCTGAGCAATTCCAATCTAACATGCAGATTGTTTTTAACCTGTGATCTGGACCACAGAAAGTCTGTTTTTGTTCGACTGACTTCCCCTAGAGTAAAAGAGGTCCTGAAACTTTATCCTTTGAAAGTTTTGCTTTCCAGTTTCTCCAATACCTCTTGCCATAGTCAAAGCATTAAAATCAGTTCTTAGAAAAGAATGCTTATCGTAGCCTATAAGTTTTTTTCATCTTAGAAAAGAAACTCCAAACTTTGTACAGATGACTCTACATTGCTTATGTTTTTATAAGCTGCCTAGAAAATGTAGAATTAGAAAAAAGATGTATATAATGATCTCTCTTATTTAATATAACCATTTTTCTTTTGTTTTAATCCTTTTAAGTAAGTTAAGATGGTGTAGAATGTTTTCATACTGCACCTTTTTTAGAACTACAATACTTCTCCGATAAATTCAACATTTACTCTTAAGGCCTGAATAAAATTCCTTATGACTTTTTGCCTTAGAAAAACAAACAAACAAAACCCCTATGCCCACTAAATGAAATGCAGTTTTTCATTACAGTAAAAAAGAGCAAATGCAATGAAAAACTCCATCACTTTCCCCATCAGCCAGGTCCCTGCTGTGCTGGCTTAGGAGAATCTGGTGATACCTGAACCCTACTAGTTTTACTTCCTTCTGTGTCCAAAAAATATTATTTAAGACTCATTCTCCTCAACAAGAATATCAGAGACAACTGTAGAACTGGCCCAGACTTGGAATGGTCAAAACAGTGGTTTGGCATATTTTTTTATTTGATGAATGGAAGTATGTCAACCTGACCTTTGTGTCTACCAAAGTTAGAGACTGGTGGCTCTGTTCTGAGTCCGAAGAAGTGCCGAGCAGGTCTCTGCACAATTCTGCCAATAGCCCTCAGCTCCAATTGGTGTCAATGTAAGTTGTGGACACGTGGCTCATACTATTCTAGCTCTCTCCTCATTCCCAATCCTGCCAAATGTATGCCATTCCAGAAGGGGGTTTCAAAATGCCCTCTGCAGACTGTGGGCCCAATGCAACATCCATTCAAATCAATGGAAGGAGTCTGACAGACCTGTAGCATGAGGTCAGCAAATTCAGCACATTTATGAGCTAAGCAAGGTTGACCATTGGGCTTCAAAGTTAAAAGCTGCAGCATTATCTCTCCTGCTGGTACCCATTTTTTCCACTATCCCTTTCTCTGCTCAGCAGGTGGTAATTTATTGGCAACAAAAGCAATGAACTAGAACTGGTACCAGAAAGTATAAAAGTAAAATATTACTTGTCTTCATGTACAGCTTTTATACCTAGGCTGTGATTATTTTTATGATCCAGTGTCCTGGCCAAATGGTACAAAATACAGAAACAGATCTGAAGAGAGATTGGTTCAACTTGTTAACAACCAAAAAAGCATACTCTTATGGAACATGTTACCTTAGAAAAGCAATTAGGAATACTTGTCTACTAAGAGGCCTGCATTCAAACACTCGACACGCCTATATGGTTTACCTAACCCTCCAGGCCTTTAACAGTTTGGCTTGTAAAGTTTGCAAACTTGAATAAATCTCACTGTAAGTTCTGCTAATAAACTGATGCCCCTAGGTACAATTCAGGTGCATGGTTATCATGCTACATTTCAAAAGCTTACTTTGATACTTAGAGGAAGTAAAGTTCAAATGATGGATGCTGTTCCCAGAAAATAAATGCCTAGTTAGAGCCTGTGTAATGCAGCTACCTAATCATCAGATTCTACCTGAGATGGATATGACTGGATTCAAAGAGGAGAAAATATTCCCTCTTGGCCTTCTCTGGCCTTTCTACCAACTCAGGTGTTTATTCTTATGCTCCTCCCTCCAGGTCCTTCCAATAAGGAAAATGACACTTAGGGACCAGAATAGGTTGCCAGTGGCTGCTCTGTTTTAGCACTATTCTTTAAAAAATACTCACCTTTCTGGGTGTTTGATGCGTTTAATTTATGCTCTGGAATGTTCATGCGTTTGTTCCATTTTCCTAGTAAGTGGAGCTTAAAGGGGCTTAGCAGTAGGAGGGATTTTCACAACCCAGCACTGCAGACAGAAACAGCAGTGTTTCCCCATCTGACAGCTGGTTCCTGGTGGTGATGACCTGTCTGTGAAATACAGGATGGCGGGACACACTTGAGAAGCTTTATGTTCCTAATCTGTTAATTACACTGGAAATCGCTGAATCAGAGGTATCTCCAGTACAATCATCTAGCTAGATTATATTTAATATTTAAATTCGTACCTCAATCCTAACTGGAACCATTATGCTGGATTTTACTGTCAAGAGTCTCGGCCAGGTGTGGTAAGACTAATAACCCCATAAGGACAGGTGGTGATTAAGTTTTAGTTACCAATAAAACAACCCTTAGTTTCCTCTTTTAATACCAGTGAGTTTTTACTACAGGTTTTTAGGTACAAGAACATTAAACACCAGAAATGTGCATGCCACATCTGAAAAACGGTTTCCTTTTGAGCTAACAACTGAAGCATTGTTCATGAGGGGTAACCATGCTGCATTCTCGTTTTTCTGGAAATAACTGTTGACACCAACATTCTCATTCTCTTTTTCTACACGCATGTCTCATACTAATAGACTATTCATACTGTGGCTTCAGCACGCAGTGTATAACTATAGATTTACTTAAAACAGGACATGTAAAATTCCCTGGTGCGTACCACCTGGTTCAGATCAGCTTGCTCTTATGCCTCCCATCTCCTACAACGTAATCATGCATCCTTGTTCATTCTCATGTAAGTTTGTAGCCTCCCCCCCCCCGATTCTGGAAGGTTATTTGGAACGGAACATTGTTTTTCTGGTTCTGTTCCTCTAGTGTCCAAAACAACATGTTCACCACACTAGCATTACACCCCTTCTGTCACACGGAGTTCACTTAGTAGAGTATGTTTGGTTAGTAGAGTTCATCATAGCTTTTCTCACTAGACGTGATTAGCACAAGCACCTCCTATCTGATTTCACCACCTCTTCCGAGGAGTGTACTACATTTGGTACAAACCCACTCTTTACCCCTTCCCAGCCCTCCTGGATTGAAATCTCCCCCTTTTTAACAAGCTCATAAATATCTCGAGTCAGGTCGGTGAAGGCCTTCTCCACATTAATGGCATCCCGAGCTGAGGTCTCAATGTATCTCATACCATATGCAGCAGCTAGTTTCTCGGCCTCATGCCTGGTAACTTGCCGCTGTGTGTCAAGATCACATTTGTGACCTACCAAGACAAAGACAATCTGGTAGGGCTGGACATGCACCTTTGTCTCTTCTAGCCACTCATGGACGTTCTGGAAGGACCTGCGGTTTGTAATGTCAAATAAGAGGAGGCCGCCTACTGAGTTCCTGTAGTAGGCTCTGGTGATGGATCTGGAAAAGAAGAAACCCACACAACAAGAAAATAAAGGTTATTTGAAAGGCTGAGCATTTGGGGACCAGTATGGGGTCTTTTGCGGGTGGGAAAGGGGGGCTTGTTTTTTAGATTCTTTTTTCCCTTAATGTAACATTTCTGACCAGCTGAGTCTGGTAGCAGAAATTTGGTTGGACAAATTTAGAAATCTGAAGGCCAGAAAAAATGGAATTATGTAAGCCAAGGAATTTCACCCAATCATTTTTGCCTCATTTGTAACTTCTGTTTAAGCTGCAGCCTATCATTTAAAAAAATCGTGTCCACTCACAACTTAAAGCCTCCAGTAATAAGAGAATATACCACATCTCTAGTTAAGTTGTTCCAGTGGTTAATTACCCCCCGTTAAAATTTTGCATCTAATTTCTAGTCTGAATTTGTCTAGTTTCAGCTTCCAATCATTGCATCTTACAACTTTTCCTGCTAGATTATGGAACTGTCTGTTGTCAGAAGCTTCTTCCCCATGTTCATCACACGTAGACCACAATCAATTCACCTCCGGTTTAAAAGTGTTGTAACAGAGGCAAGGATTTTTCCCAGAAAGGCAGGTTTTTGGAACTAAATACTCAACAAAGTATAGCTGTTTGTAAGGCAAAAAAGTGGGATTGATAATAGACTGCTGTGGAGTTAGAAGCCAGAACAGAGAAGCCTTAGGGAAAAGCAGAGGAGGTGTAGGTACATTCTTGCATGATTGTATGCGCAGACGTGCAAATTAATTATTTTACAGCTGATGCAATACATTGTAGTACAGGCATCATCACTGATGCATTTGAAAGGGGAGTGCAATACTTACCTCTGCTCCAACAACTAAGTGAAGCAGATCTAAAAGGGGAGGGAAGGGGGATAGGCAGTAGGTAGGCTTGGGACTTCCAAGATCTTTTTGAGCAAGGACAGATCTCTCTGCAGACAGGCACAGGAAGTGAAATCAAGCTAATAGAACAAATCAAGCGTACAGAACTAAATTGTAACATTTGGACTTACCAGGTTTACATTTGGATGGCAAGTGACCTTGGATAAATAACCAGGAGGCTGTCATAACTGCTGAATAGCCCTTTGTTGTGAATAAAATAGTAATTATACCTTTACGTGGGGAGGAGCTCCTGTTCAAAAACGCTCTCTCCTTGGTGGGATCCTATGCGAGGATGGAATGCATTGCTGCTCTTTTGTCACAAAACAGGAACCAATTAACCAATGTGGATCACGTTGGTAGGAGGTTAATGGATCTTGCAATTTTTATATATTCAGAGAAGCTGCTCCCAAATGAGTACTTAAGAGTTCCTAAATTCTGACCTATCAGCAGTGAACAGCATTGCCATAGTATGCTGGAGCGGGGAGGGCAATCCACAGAAAAACAGGAGAGAACAGAGAAGGAAAAGGGATTTCTTGGCTGTGCTGTGGATAATCTCTTCCCTCCCAAGCATCTGGCTCAGCATCGTAAGCAGCTCTGCATATCTGGCACTGAGCTGTGCGATTTGCCTTTTGCTCCCTCAGCAGCAGTAATCAGATTCGGTAGCCTTTTAGTCCTCCCCAGCTGCTACAGAGGGATCTGTTTCCCGGCGCGCTCAGAGCTTCCGCTGCAGCCTCTCGGTCACTGAGGCAAACTCAACAGCAATACGATACAGGCACCTTCAAACTACCTAAGAGGATGCTTTGATTCTTGTTAATGTTAGACACTGGCTGGATCCCTCCCAGCCACTTGAGGTGAGAAGAGAACAAATTGCAGAATTAGAGACATTTGAGGCACAAAAACCTGCTCGGTCCAGGATGGGGAAGATAGTTCTCTCCCCTCAAAAGTGGCTCCATGTTCCAAACAGCCTCCATGACTTGATGCTTTTCCTGCAAAACATCTCACTTTGAGCTCCATGTCAGCAACAGGATTTCGGCACATGCCTAATATTAATTTCATGGAACAACTCCTGATTTACCTTGAAATGCACAGGCAAAATGGCCTGGCACAGGCATGTCCCAGCATTCACAGCCATCAGAGCAGAGAGACTATTTTCAAATGTGCCCTCCACACTACCCTGACATTGACTGTTTGCTTACGTGGGAAAAGCAAACTGCTGCGATAAAATCATGGGACCGGAGTACGGAGGAGGTGGGTCCACAAGAGAGACACAATGCCCACAATACCTTCCTGCCCCCATCTTGGCACACCTACGTATACCACAACTGAGACAGGGTCAGCGCATTTCACTGGTCCTATTTTCACTTGCCTCTGCCTGAAAATCCCTGAGCTCACTGAAGGAGAAACTGTTACAGCTACCACCGTGTTGTAAAAACGACCTTTTCCATTCATAATGCTGTCACAGCTTTAAGGTGACCTGGGAAGGAGCAGAAAGAAAAATGGACTCATGCCTCATTCTTCATTCTTTATAATATACCAAGAAGGTCTGACGAAGGGAGAGAGGGGCATGCTTTTCAGTGTTCGTTTCTCTGCTGCTTTTTCCATCGGAAATTCAGGTCTCGGTTGTGGCAAGGACTAGGGTGACTGGAAAACTCTCCTCCTAATAATCATCATTATTCATCAAGAGCAAGCTCTTAATTAGTAAAACAAGGGCATCTCAAGAGACCAAAACGGGAGCTATTGGGAGGGAAAGCATTTTTGTCAGACAGTATGAGCCCTTCTCTTTTGTTTTCAATGCCTAATGAGCACTTTGAAGACAGGGCAGCTTTCTGCCATAAAAATCCTTTCTGTGGCAAAAATCCCTCCTTCTCAATGAAGGCAAGAGAGCTCACACTCTTATGTGACACCCGGGAGAGGCCAGCCAGCAGCAGCAGGTATAAGCAGACATGCACTTAATCCCAGTATGCCAAATGTTGTAAATTGAGAGAGAAATGTTTTGGAAGGCGGTGGGGGTGGGGGGGAAGAAATCAGGCTTCCTATACACTACAAAAGGGCCTGGCAGAGGGGAGGCAAAAGGACACCAATTCTCCATCAGGTCCCTATAAATGCCAAGGTCCAGTGCCAGAGTCTGTACCAGCTGGAACCTGGGTATAAGGCTTCTCTTTCTAGCCAAGAAAGGTTGCAAGGTTTCTGTCTCTGCCTCAGCGCAGGGAAAGGAGGGAGGGGATTTAACCTACTGACTGAAAAAGGGGAATAATTTCTCAAACAGATCATTAAAAGCAAAGATGGCAGCCTCCTGAAGCAGCTCGGAGATCTGGAGTGATGGAAGGGGTCCACCAGGGAGAAGGATTAATGGGCAACATACAGGTCAAAGACGTATGATAAATACAAATTACCACATGACTGCAATTTGCCATATGGTTCTGCAGGGAATCCTGTGGATATTACCACATGTGCACCTTTTATGTTCTCATCAAGTCAAGCTTGCTACCAATTAATCTCTTAGATTATTTTTCAGTGTGGAGGCTGTCAGGCATCTTATCACAGCAGCCAACCCACAGGTAGGAACGTGATTCTTGTAGGTAGCCAGAAACCTGGCCTATTTCTGTCCCATAATCTGTAGACTTGAAAACGAAGCAACTGTTTTTGGTGGAGCTACACTTTCAGTAGCCACGTTCTGGAGTCTCAACCGCTGCTGCTCTATGGCAGGTCGCTACATTTTCACCCTTCCTTTTTCGGCGGAAACTGCATTTTGGTGCCAAAGCCACCGTTTGTGATAGATCTGCGTTGACTTCACAAGCTCAGTGAATTTCTGTTTCCATATCTAAGGGGGAGTTCAGTCTTGACCTATTTTTGCCAGAGAGAGCCCAACAAGGGGGTGCCTGCATTTCAGCAAAATTTTTCCCATCAACCTAAATGGGCAAAAGAAAAGCCACCGTGCCCTCGTCTCTCTCGCACACAGGTGCAAGTGTGCACACACACACTTTGGGCAAACCAAACGTGTACTTTTTCCTAATGGACAAGAATATGAGAACTGCTGTGTACTGAGTCCATGTTGCCCAGCACCAGTGCACGTTTGACCAGGCCTGGCTGCCGGCAAAGGGGGCGAGGGGCTGGGGCAAGGAGGCACCCAGTGCCACCACAAAGGTCTTCACACCGACACCAAGCTGGCCCTCCGCTGCCCGGCTCGCAAAGTGCATCTCCGGCCTCGTCTACAAAGAGACCCGTGGAGGGGGGGCAAAGGTCTTCCTGGTGTATGTGCTCCACGGCATTGCCAGCTACAGCGAGCAGACCACGTGCAAAGCGGTGACACCACAGACGTGGTCTACACGCGGAAGCGCCCGCGCTGCACCTGGTCTGCATTCGGTGATTAACTCTCAGCACCGACAGTGCAATGTCACATGCCTGGGGCGCAGCGCGGACGCCGTGTCACCCCTGGGGCGAAGCGCAGCGCGGACGTCCTGTCACCCTGGGGCACGGCTCAGCGCAGCACGGACGCCCTGTCACTCCGGGGCGAAGCGCGGACGCCGGGGCGCAGTGCAGATGCCCTGTCACCCCTCGGGCAAAGCGCGGACGCCGTGTCACCCCAGGGCGCAGCGCTGACGCCGTGTCACCCCGGGGCGCGCTGCAGAAAGGGAAAGCCGAGCGGCCTGGGCCTCCGCAGAGCTTTCCCCTGCTCCTGTCCCACTCGCACCAAGCTGGCGCCAGGGGCCCATCCAGCGAGGGCCCTGCCCGGCCGCACCTAAGATGGAGGCTGCCCTCCCGCCCTCACCTGAAGCGCTCCTGCCCGGCCGTGTCCCAGATCTGCAGCTTG